AACAAGAGCGAAACTCTGTCTCAAAAAAAATAAAAAATAAAAATAAATAAATAAAATACAAAACAATTATCTGGGTGTGGTGGTGGGCTCCTGTAATCCCAGCTACTCAGAAGGCTGAGGCAGGAGAATCACTTCAACCAGGAAGACGGAGGTTGGAGTGAGCCAAGATCGAGCCATTGCACTCCAGCCTGGGCAACAGAGCAAGACTCCATCTCCCCCCCACCCCCCCAAAAAAAGAGAGACCCTGTCACACAAAAAAGAAAAAATCCCAGTAATAAGCAAAGAATTAAAAACGTTTAATAGTAGGCTGGATGCAGTAGCTCACACCTATAATCTCAATACTTTGGGAGGCAAAGGTAGGGGGATGACTTGAGCCCAGTTCGAGACCAGCCTGGGCAATATAGCAAAATCCCATCTCTACAAAAAATACAAAAATTAGCCAGATGTGGTGGTGTGCGCCTATAGTCCTAGCTGCTCAGGAGGCTGAGGTCGGAGGGTCACTAGAGCCTGGGAAGTGGAGGCTGCAGTGAGCCGAGATTGTGCCATTGCACCCCAGCCTGGGCAGCAGCAAGACCCTGGCATGGTGCTCATGCCTGTAATCCAAGCACTTTGGGAGGCTGACGTGGGTGGATCACCTGAGGTCATGAGATCTGTCTCTATTAAAAATACAAAAAATTAGCGGGGGCGTGGTGATGGGCATCTGTAATCCCAGCTACTTGGGAGGCTGAGGCAGGAGAGCTGCTTGAACCTGGGAGGCGGAGGTTGCAGTGAGCTGAGATCATGCCACTGCACTCCAGCCTGGGTGACAGTGAGACTCTCGTAAAAGAATCATCTGGGTACAATGCCATCTGCACCTTTAGCCTGAGCTACTCGGGAGGCTGAGGTGGGAGAATAACTTGAGCCCAGGAGCTTGAGACTGTGGTGAGCGCTGATCCCACCACTGCACTCCAGCTTGAACAACAGTGTTAGATCCTCTCTCTTAAATAAAAGCACATACTCAGGAGACTAAGGTGGGAGGATTGCTGGAACGAGGAGTTTGAGACCAGCCTGGGCAACATAGGGAGACCCCTGTCTCAAAAAACAAAGCCAAGGCCAGGCATGGTGGCTCACACCTGTAATCCTAGTACTTTGGGAAGCCAAGGCAGATGAATCACTTGAGCTCAGGAGTTTGAGACTGGCCCGGGCAACATGGCAAAACTGTGTCTCTAGAAAAAAATTAGTTGGGTGTGGTGGTACGCTCCTGTAGTCCCAGCTAGTCGAGAAGCTGAGTCAAGAGGCTGGTTTCGGCCTGGGAGGTGGAGGTTGCAGTGAGTTGAGGTCACACCACTGCACTCCAGCCTGGATGGCAGAGCCAGACCACGCTGTCTCAAAACAACAAAAGCAAAACCCACAAAACTCATTTAGATTTTTGTTTGAGACAAAGTCTCGCTGTGCTGTCCAGGCTGGAATGAAGTGACATGATCATGGCTCACCATAGCCTTGACCTCCTGGGCGCAGCCCATTCTCCCATTTAGCTTCTCCAATAAGTGGGACTCACAGGCATTGCACCACCATGCCTGGCTAATGTTTTTTGTTTGTTTGTTTTTGAAGAGATGGGGTCTCCCTTTATTGCCCAGGCTGGTCTTGAACTACTGGCATCAGTCAGTCCTGCCTCAGCCTCCCAAAGTGCTAGGATTGCAGACGTAAGCCAGCTGTGCCTGGTCATTTTGTTTTTTCCAGCTGCTTTTTGTTTTTTATTTTTAGAGTCAGGGTTTTGCTCTGTCACCCAGGTTGGAGTGCTTTGGCACGATCATTGGCGCACTGTACACTCATAGAACTCCTGGGCCTCAGCGATTCTCTCACCTCAGCCTCCCGAGTGGCTGCAGCTGCAGTTATGCACCACTACGCCCAGCTAATTTTTAAATACTTTTTATAGTGTTGAGGTCTTGGCTGTGTTGCCTATGCTGGTCTCAAAATCCTGGACTCAAGCAGTCCTGCCACCTCAGCCTCCCAAAGTTCTAGGATTACAGGTGTGAGCTGCCACGCCCAATACATTTCCTTTTCTCTTCTCGTCTTGTCTCTTTCCTTGTCTTTTTTTTTTTTTTTTTTTTTCTGGGACACAGAGTCTTGCTCCGTTGCTCAGGCTGGAGTACGGTGGTGTGATCATGGCTCACTGTAGCCTTTGACCTCCCAGGCTCAAGCCATCCTCCTACCTGAGCATCCTGAGTAGCTGGGACTGCAGACGTGTGCCATCACGCCCAGCTAATTTTTAAATTTTTTGCAGTTAACAGCCATGTTGCCCAGGCTAGTCTTGAACTCCTGAGCTCCAGGGATCTACCCGCCTCAGCCTCCCAAAGTGCTGGGGTTAGAGAAGTGAGCCACCATGCCCAGCCAGAACTCATTCTCTACAGAGTTGTTTATTATTTCTTCAGGGAACCGAAACGTTAAAAATCCAGTGAAGATAATTTGCTCTTTTGGGTGCTTAGCTGAGTGCAGTTAAAGGTTTGTATTCCTAATTAGAAACTTTGTTTCTTACGGGCATGGTGGCCCACACCTTTAATCCCAGCACTGTAGGAAGTCGAGATCCCAAGGACCCTGGGAGTTCACCAGCCTGAGCAACATGGCAAAACCCCTCTCCACAAAAAATACAAAAAGCAGCCAGATGTGGTGGCGTGTGTCTGTAGTCTAAGTTACACCGGAGGCTGGGGTAGGAGGATTGCTTGCACCCGAGAGGCTGAGGCTGCAGTGAGCTATGATCATGCCACTGCATTCCAGCCTGGGTGACACAGCAAGACTCTGACTCATTTAAAAAAAAAAAAAAGGCCGGGCGCGGTGGCTCAAGCCTGTAATCCCAGCACTGTGGGAGGCCGAGGCGGGTGGATCACGAGGTCAAGAGATCGAGACCATCCTGGTCAACATGG